AATATCTTAACACTTAACAATATGATAAAAATATTGTTAATAGTAACTTAACAGATTAAAAATATTTTTATCATATTATAATCATATAATAGTTATATAGCTATCATATGATAATCATAAATGGCAAAAATTCAAGTTTCTGCTAATCGATCAGAATCAAAAGTCTCAAAATTGGTTAATAAATGTCGAATGGTGATTCTCTTAATCCATTCCCACATATGACCTAAACTCAAATTTATAATACAAGTTTTTTGATATTCTATCGCTCATTATTATATGACTGGTATATAATTTGGCCAAACATAAAGTGTCTGCATCGCATTTATAAAAGAAAAGCTATAGCCAATTTATAAAAATGCACATATAAAGGATTAACCTATCTTAGAAGTAAAATACAATTGCTTTTATAAGTATATGTATTAAAAGAAAATTAATATATAGCTATGTAATTGTCACTACTATATGATTGGCTGGGCATGATAATAATTTCATATCTGAAAGTGTAAGCTCTGGACAATTAAACTATATGATATATATAAAATATCACAAGGTGTTAGACAATCTTCCAATCTAATTATCATCAAAAGGAAATACTAAATAAAATTTCAGACGTATTCACATTAGAATGCTCTATAAATTTATAATGAAAATTCGTATTGTTGATATCTTTATTCGAAAATCATACTGTATTTGTATTTATTAAACTCTGATGATGCCAATGGATCATTGATAATCTCATTTAATTGAAAACCTTTTGTTCGAATTTCTAATTTCGTTGAGGGATCTGTATCAATACTTTCTATAGTATTTAATAAAATGTTAACAATTTCATAAGCTGTATTTAAGAATTTAATATTTCTAGAAATTAATCTTTCGTCATTTTTCTTTTCCATTTTTCCATCTGATCTTGAAAATTCTAGCAAAATATCTGCGTTATCTTTCTAATTTTTAAGTAATTGACAAATTTTTAATGGCTATATGTGATAGTAAATTCACTTTGTCTTTCGTGATAAAATCAGGATTTCAGAGTAGAGATCCATGCTTTACATATTGCATGACCAAAATATAACCTCCAATAGTTATTCAAAACATTTTAGAAATGTATGGTTTTGACTTCTAATATCGTAGTATGTATTTAACTTTAAAATTAAATTTTAATATTAGCATTTAGAATATATATCAGAGAAAAAATTTTAAACCGATGCTTTGATTGGCACTTGATGGATATTGCTAACAATTGTTTCGGTTTGATTAATCATCTGATCATTTCTATCGGTTTAAAAAGTTTGTGAATCAGTTATTAATTCATAATTACTTCACTAAAAGGATCTCTTTACAATTCTTCGATTCGTGAAGCAATTTGAGCGCAACAGTTTAATTACACCCATAATACCATTTGTTTTATTTCATGCACCAGCATATACAGTTGAAAATCTTCATTTGCCAATTTCTTGCATATTTATTATTTCATTAAATGGAATCCATAATAGTAGATATTCTTTTTCTTTTTTATATGATATCTTTAAAAAATTATAAACATCAGGTTCACCACTGTTGTTATCATGTAATAGAATTTTTGAAATAACACTATCTTCTGCTTTTTGCATCTATTTCATAGCTTCATTCTGGTCTTTTAATGTTCAAATTCCATTCCAAATAATATAAAGCAACTTCATATATTGCATCAAGGCTTCCACCTTTAGCGAACCTTAGGTACTGTCACGGGAAATTGTGACATGATGTTCTGGACTTAGATTTTTATTATTATTTCTTTTTTTATTTCTTTTTTTTTTGTTATTATTATCAAAGTACTGTATCATACGATAGACCTTAGAAGATGTAATCGTACGATAAAGGGAAACTGGTAATTGTTGACTATGGATTGTTGTATAGACTAGTAATTGTTGGCCTTTAATTGTTGGCATGTCAAGAATTCTTAAACATGGCTTGCGGAAAGTTTGTGAGGATATGGAAGGGTCTTTTCTTAGACATTATTGTTCGCGACTCACGCACAATGCTGTTTAGCAGCGTTGAAGCTGCAAGAAGTCGCTGGAGAATGTAGCACAGTAGCTCTTAAAAAATTGAAATGTATTTAAGGCCTGAATTTTCGCATTAATAAAGTTTTCTCAGACTTCGATGCTTTAATGAATTGGAAATAAGAATCGAGTTTTCAATTTTATTAAATGTGAATATTATTGTGTTAAAATCTATTCGTAATAAACCCTTAATCTAAACTAGAATACCCTTATCCAACAATATGATATCATCATATTGTTATTGTTATCTCTAAACTTTGTTATTACCGACCTGAATCCTACACTAACTATGCGTATTGCATACCCTTTAATTAACTACTGTACATTATCAACGCATGCTTAAATTATCCCATAAATTGAACTTTAAATCGAGTGTATAACGCCAATTTGATCTGATCAATTGTTAATCTCGATCCCGATCTACCTAAGTCGTGACTTCATCCTACATGCTCCAAACTTCGACAAACGATATTTATATCCCCTTGTTTACTATTGGAGCTAAATTGGACCTTGTATTAGAATTACTCTCCCAAACAATAGTAACAGTACCATTTAAATGACTTCTTTTCATCTTTATTAATACCGAAACCATTGCGCAATATTTCAGGGCATAATAACTTACGTAAGTTTGTGTTTATATATTTTGCTGATGTAAATATAAATATTTTTTAGTCTTCACAGCTTATTTTTATTTATATAAAAAAGAAAATATTTAGTTGTGAAAACTAAATACTTATATCGAGAGGTGTGGCAACTTAGTGTAGTGGTCTAGTCGTCACCCTCTCCAAGTGGCAGGTCTAGAGTTCGAATCCCACGGA